AAAAAAAAAAAAAAAAAAAAAGGAAAAAGAAACTATAACAACACAAATATGTAACATAGACATCTATTGCCTAAAGCTTGCGTTTTTTTTTTTTAATTTCACAGTGTAACACTGTGAGTCAATTTAATTATCTTCTCTGCCTTCTTAGCTAATTTTCTCTTACCTGCCACCAGATGGATTGTGCCCAGTATACCAAAAATTGGTCTTGTGACAGCTGAAGGAGGGACATCTTTCTTGACTAAAGAAAGAAAGAAAGATCAGATTTTTTTAAAAAAGCTCGCTAACAGAAATAAAATTTAGGTTGATTTCAAGTTACTTCAACTAAATAAATATGCATGATTCCTCTACAAAAATGTAACGTTCCTTCATTAACATCAGACCTCCAATTCGCAGAATGCAAAATACAGACGACCTTGCACTGTGCAAAGGCCTCCGTCTGCCTAGGATACGGTGCCAACAGTGACTTGCTCCCGGTTCCCCACCAGGTAAACTGTAGGGTGTTTCTCATGCCAATTTTCAACCAAATTTACTCACCCTCTTGCCAGGAATTGGGTACTTATCTCTTTAAGAAAATTAAAGAATAAATGGAAGTGAGGACTTGAGACCAGATTTTCATCTTAACGTGTAACTAAGAGAGCGCAAAGACTTGTCTACCCACGGCTGCGAAGGCGGAAGGAAACAAAGGTACCGGGGGCGGAAGGAGAAGCAGCTTGACCCAGGCGTGCGGGAGGTGTGCGGGGAGGCACCTCCCTAACGCTGCCTTTATCAACGATGCTCCCGTTAATGCAGCGGCATCTCGCCAGGCTCCCTTCACAGTTCTTAAACTTGCAGCCAACAGTTCACAAAACACAGTTTGCAGAAGTCTACTTGAGAAAATAATGCCGCATAGGGAGGAGGGAGATTTTACAAGTAAGCTTATTTTGCTTCATCGCATGACCTCTACTCCCCAACAGAGCCACGACGTACAATCAGGAGAGTAAGGACTGAGAAGGCCTCCTCCGAAGAGAGCTGACCTGCTGTCAAACCCAAGTTTCCCCTTGTGCTGCTGGAAAACTTTTCTTCCACCTGCTGCTTTTCATCATCCTGAAATCTAATTTCGAACCACTACTGTAAACCCAAGGCCTGGTTCTCGAAAGTAGTCATGACAGTAATTCTGTTACCTAAATAAGGTAATTCCGAAAGGGTCTGAACCTCCCTTGGGTTTGTCTTCATAATCCCATGTGGCTGTCCTTGGACACCACGGTCTCCCAGGGCAAACAGGGAGGCGGGCGCAGAGGAGAGAAGAGAATTCTGCAGGCGTGGAGCGTCCGACTCCCTGACGCGCACTGAGACGGCTGTAAACTGTGCTAACTCAAGTAGAGCAGCAATAAAACCGCGATCACTCCTGCAACACAGACTGGCTTTCCTGAGAGAGAAAAATCCTCCTTTCCACTGCGCAGCCTGCATTCCCCAGGCTAAGAGGGCACCGGCTGAGCAGCAAGCGTCCAAGCTGGCGCCTCATCCCTGACTGGGGTCAGTGTTACCCCGGCTTCCTGGCGACGACCAGAAGTACCACTTTTATACCTTCACTGCTCTCCACTCTGCTGTCAGTCTACTAAGATGGGTCTCCAACCTCTACCTGCAAGTAAAGCATCACTACGAGGTCAAAAATAACTGAAAATGCACCCACACTAAAGTTCCTGGGAAACACAAGCTTCTGTCCCCAAGGTAAAAAGAAGTACCAATTAAACTAACGGGTGTAATTAAACCTTAGCCTTAGGAGTTGGGTACTCAGGTTGATTAGAGCAGCCGCCAAGCAACATATAGGAAATACCAACTTGTCCAACGGACACAGCTCTAATTCCACTTCACCAAAGGGAAACTGTATCTGAGGCACCTACAAGAGCCACGAATAACCAAAGAAATGGAAATGTGACAGTCATATCCACACTTTACCAACTCACTACAAGTGTTCTTATGTTACTTCCTCTGTTCAGGGGATATTCACTGAATGCCTGCTCTGCGGTGATTCAAACATTAAAAAAAAATAGAGAACTCTGGTGGTCAACTAGAATTTTCAAACCAATGAAATGAATTCTAAATACAGTGACAACATCATATGATCATTAATTTGTCATCAAAATTATTCCACGTAACCTATTTAGGAATCACTGTTCTATACAATTGAAAAAAATTGTTTTTCACATCCCTGAGAAGCAAAACCAAAATACAACTGGACAGACAGACAGTGCTTAGGATCATGATTTGCTGAGAACAGTTAAAATGTTAGTGAAGTGTTATTTATCTTTTATCTATTAATTACCTGCCAAGTCATAAAACAACTCCAAAACAAAAACAAAGCAGCTGTTACAATTCCTTACACTTAAAGTTAAAAGTTTTTTGGCAAATAGCTCAAATATTACATCTGGGAAGAAGCTTTAGACACCTAAATCAGTCCCGCTTAGAGCACAGATAAAGGAACAGAGAAAGAAAGCACTTTCTAAAGTTATTAAAGGATATGGATAGTACAATGCTACCTAACATTTTAAAGATCTTTTCTCCTCTGAAGAAAAGAAAGCATAAAGTTAAATGAGGCAGCAAGAACTAAACTCCGAAGAAGGAGCTGAGATCCACAACAGGCCGTGGGGCCGCTATGAGAACGACAGGAATGGACACACGGGCGGCTGCGCACAGTACCTGCCAGGGTGACCTCGGTGGAAACGCGGTCAATGGTGAGCACATCGTCCACTCCGTCATCACAAGCTTCCACGTAAAACTTTTCAGGTGTGATATGTCTGGGAGAAAACAGAAAGGCATCAACAGACCCGGCAAAATGAAGGCTTCACAAAGAATGTCTGTAACAGTGACAGCAGGGTTTTCATTTTCCTGGCTTCTACATAGAAGCGGCTGGTTAAGTTCCCCACCCTTACCAATTTACTGAAACTCTTTTGTTTGCATATTTAATGCGGACAGCATTTCAACTGCTATAAAACCACGAACTTAATTTACACAAGAAAACTGTAACCAGATCTAACTTGTTATATTTAACCTTATGCAAAAGGCAGTGTGGCAGGCAGCAGCAGTCTCCTGGCTGTGTGAGCTGAGTATTGCTCATCCTCTCTGTCCCTCCCTCATCAATTAGAAGAAAGAAAACACAAGACCCAGCACACAGCATTGATGTTTTTTCTTAGAAAGCTGCATGTTCCTAAAAAAGATTCATTCTGTAAAAAAACAGAACACAATACAATCAAACAAAGGGAGTGAGAACAGGGCTGGGACAGACTACTCCAGATGTATGCAACTTTGTCCCAAGAATCTGACAGAAACAGAAGTTGGCTCCTCCAGAGACAACACAGACAGCTCGGGTAAGCAACTGCGTATGGTTAGGGACTGGCTCTGAAATAAGAAAAATGAACCGAACAGTGGGAAAAGGTAGGACATGCGGAGCACAGAACCATGAGACTGCAGCGCAGAGCAGGCCAGGCAGAGAGGCTGAGCTCAGGAACTTTCCCCAAAAGCTAATCTTCACTGCTCACAAACCAGAGCCAGAAGAATTTCAGTCTGTGCTGAAATTCCTTAATTCTACTTCCACTATTCTGGCTCGCCTACCCCTTAAAAAAATCTTCTTTCAAGCCACACAGCCATCACTGACATCACTTCCTATTTACCACGCTGTACTATCTCTGACTGTAAGGTCTCTGAGGAATAACCAGCTCGATTCTCCAAGTAGTACACACCCTTTGTGATTATCAGTGCTGACCCTGTTAGTATTAACTAATTCCCTGCATTTCAGGAGCTACACCAAGGACAAATAGGTTATCAGGTGAATTACTATTGTGCAACAAAGAAAGCAAACCTGTTTCAAGTACGGCAAGTCTTCAGACTAAATGAAAGTTCATTTCTCTTTGCTACTTAATACCTTCAATCTGCCTATTTGTTCACTTGCTGACAGACGCTGCAGTTGTTTCTGGTTCGGGGTTGTTATGAATAAAGGTTCTCCTGGGAATTAAGGTGTCTCTTAAGACAGATGTGCATTCACTCCATTGGGTAACTATCCAGGAGCAGAGTGGCCAGACTTGGCCAACAGTAAAAATACCACGCAGCTCACCTGCACAGGAGGGAAACAGAGGGATCAGGGCCTCTATTTAACACTGGCAATGGTTTTATGGGTGTAAAATCTAACAAATTGTACATATTAAATACGTTCAGTTTACTCTGTGTCAGCTAAGTAAGTATCAATAAAGCTCTAAAAAGGTGAGCAGTCCTAGAACGAAATAAAGAGCTTCTCAACTGTGTCACAGTACTGGGTAGCTGCCCTTTGCTGCAGATGACCTTTTACAAGCTATGACCCACATCCATAGAAGACGCTGCACTGGAGCAGAGGCTGCACTAGGTGTAAGTTTGCCAGCTAACACTTACTGAGAAGCTACCACGTACTGACGTCACAGGGACCAGGGCCCGGGAGGGAACATGAAGAATATGGAATATCTTTTAAGTAAAAACCAGACCTCAAAAACAAGATGTGGTGGCACACACCTGTAATCCTAGCACTTGGAAGGCTGAGGAAAGAGGATTGCTGCAAGTTCAAGGCCGGTCTGGACTACAGAGTGAGTTCCAGGGCAGCCTGACCTGCGATGCCAGAGCCTGTCTCAAACAATAAACCAACAAAAAATTGTGAATGTCTTTCTAAATGTATTTGTAAAGGCAGGAGTCTGTAAAAGAACATGGAAAAATAGCATAGAACCATCTTTTAAAAGACAGCATGTGGCCAGGCATGGTGGCATACGCCTATAATCCCAGCACTTGGTAGGCTGAGGCAGGAGGATCTCTGTGAGTTCGAGACCAGCCTGGGCTACATAGTGAGTTCCAGGTCAGTCTCAACTACATAGTGAGACCCTGCCTCAAAAACACAAAACAAAACAAAAACAAACAAACAACAACAAAAAAAAAAGTGTGTGGGGGGGGTCAGGGCTTTGCAAGGGAAAAGATTTAATTCGGGACACATAATTGATAGGGTTATTTTATAATAGTCACCAAAAAGTCAAATGCAGTGAAGTGCAAGAGACTAGCTGCACACTAGAGACCCAAAGAATCTAGCCAAGGCCTGGATCCCAGGCAATGTCCTGCACAAGTCCAGCAAGTGGCCCAGAGCCCACAGCAATGTCTCAGGCTTGTCCCGAGGATCCGCACTGGGAAGGTCCAAAGGCCAGAAGTGGCAGCCAGAAACCTACGCCAGTGAGCTGAAGGATCTGTGTCACCAGGCTGAGGGATCTACACTGGAGCCAGGAAGTGATGCTCACAGTGAAAAACAGCAGCCATTCCCAGCGACAGAGAGGCCCTAAGCTCCTCCTCTGATGAGGACTGTCAAGTTCGCAGCAGGGAAACCATCCACAGCAAGCCTTTCCACAGCAAGAAAATCAACAGCGATCCACAATCCAGGTCTCTTTTTATGCCATTGGCAACAATCCTCAGGTGGGTCCTCCACACCCAAACCACTCTGATTCAGTTCAGGTGGGAGTTCCAAGTTCACTATTAGTTAATCCACCACAGCACGACACGCAGGTTACACTCTGCTACTTTTTGGCAGTCATTTTTAATCTGCACAGCTAGACTTCCAAGATGGTGGAGCGGTGAGCAGCAGAGAAACAATCCCTCAGAGATTTGGTGTCCTCACATGAGAGTACAGCGGCTCGAGCGGGGGCAGGAGGGAAGTGGGTCCGCAGGGTCCAGGAAGGATCTGAAGCAAAAAAGTCCACGGGGGGAGAGAGGAGACTTCGTAACCAAGAGGGAGGTAGGAAGCAGCACTTTCTCCCAGAGTCTGGACTCAAACCTGTAGATGCAAGGTGCCAGCTGGAGACCCCAGAGGCCTCCTCAGAAAAATACACCAGTGGAACGAGCAGAGGACAAGGCTGACTGCAGTGGGTGGTGAGTTATTCAGGTTCAGATGTCACCCAGGAGAGGGCAACTGGCCAGTAGCCATCTTGGAGAGGGGCCGACTGAGCTCGGAACTCAGAACAGCTAAAGGCCACCTCCATCTAGTGGCTCTCGGTGTCTTGGTGAAGATGCCAGAGTTCAAGTCAGCAGGAGGTGACAGGGAAAACTTTAATAGCAAAACACCTAGGAAATGTCACAATGTAAGATAACTTCTGCCCTTTGCTCTGTTTAGGGAGTCATCTAGTCTCCCTAAAAAGTTTATGAAAAGAACCACTGCTAGCTTCCCCCTGGCTAGAACAGGTAACTGAATAAATCTTAAAGGTGACTTCCCTGACAAAGAACTGCATCTGGTTGAAATTCAATTGCCTTGCCACCATGTTTTGAATATCAGCAATGCAGAGCTGTGAAAATGCAATGCAACCAACTGAATGAAATCAAGACTGTAAAACCCTATAAAAGAAGAAGTTGTAACCCAATGGAGGGTCGATCAGGGCACCGCCATGAGGTGTCATCCATCCCCATCGATGGAGTAAACTTTCTTATTTTTTTCCATTCTGCTGCCTGTGTGTCACTTGTCAATTCCTTCCGTAACATTGGCACATGGACCACTGCAGGCTCCAAAACTCCGGTTCCAGCCTCATAGCCAGAAACCAGCCTGAATTTCAGTGGAACTAAAGGTGCAGGCCAGCCGAGATTATCTACCACGTTACTATAAAACTACAGCTGGTTTGCTGGCGTGGTGGCGCACACCTGTAATCCCAGCACTGGAGAGGCTGAGGCAGGAGGATGGAGGATCACTGTGAGTTCGAGACCAGCCTGGGCTACATAGTGAGCTCCAGGTCCGTCTCAACTACATAGTGAGACCCTGTCTCAAGAAAACCAAAACCAAAACAAAACAAAAGCTACAGCTGGCGTGCTGGGATGAATCAGTTCGGCTCTGGACTCTGCCCGTGTTGTTTACCAGTGACAGCAGAGACACTCCTTGAACTGGACTTTTTGTTTCTTTTTTCTTCTTTTTTCCTCTTTTCTCATTCCTGTTATGTTTTCTGAAAGGATAATTCCCAACTCAGAATTCAATACCTGGCCACACTGTCCCACAGAGTGAGAGTAGAATAAAAAGATTCAAAAACACAGTATCTCAAAAGAAAACACTCTTGAGCTAGGATTTAGCTCAGGGGTTCTGGCCCCTGCCTCACAAGTGCCAAGGATCCAAGTTCAATTCCCAGTACCAAAAGAAAAGAAAACACTTTTAGCTTACTCTCAGCAAGGAGGAAAGGAGTGTTTCAGGAGGGAAAAGGCCTCAACAGAGGCCTGAAATCTAAAACAGAGAAGGGCGCCGGGCGTGGTGGCGCACTCCTGTAATCCCAGCACTCAGGAGGCTGAGGCAGGAGGATCACTGCGGGTTCAAATCCAGCCTGGGCTACATAGTGAGTTCCAGGTCAGTCTCAACTACATAATGAGACCCTGTCTCAAAAACAAAACAACAACAACAAATTAAATACATAAATAAATAAAACAGAGAAGGGTGAAAGGAATTCTCATGTCAATGGTGGAGAGAAGCACCAGAAAATGGCCACATAGCAGCTTACACAGCATCCCAGACTGAAGCAGGGGACAGAGGGTGCCTGGAACACAGGCTCAGAAGGAAAAGAAGCTGAGAGTGCCAGCATGCCTGCAAAGAGGTTTACTGTGCTGTCAGGGATATGAAAGATTAATTAGTGTATTTTTAAAGTCAAGCAAACAAAATGCATCAAGACCCTTCATATTTGCAGGAAAAACAAAGTGCTTTTATAAGGAAAAATAAGTATGACAGACAAAGTGATGTCATTTGAACTACACCTTCATAAGCATAACACTATTA